ATATCTTAGAGTTTAATATTGATCTTAAATTTAGTTCCCATTCGCGAAAAGCTACAACTAGAAGAGAGTTATGGCATATCTTTAAAAGGATTATATATATACCATAGGGGAAAGCCAACATAACTGCGACATATACACTGAATTGTATAGTAAGATAGATGTAGTTTTCCACAGCTACACACATCAAACTACACAGTTTCGTATAGTTTCTCTATGTAGTGCCGCCGTGAACCACTCCTGAATTTAACGATGATGAGAGATTTGTAAAGAGGATATTCATGATAAAACCTGAAGTTTAAAGGGAAGAGATTATTGCGTTTATTCAGCCTGTAAATAAAAGTCTCGCATCACAAATCCCTCGGCCAATGAGAGCGGCCGCTACTTGAAGTTCATCTACACACAATGAAAGAAACTCTTCCCCTAAAACTTCTCGTTTAATTACACATTCATCGAGGAGTTCTAATTTCCTATCAAAGAATATCCACTTTAGACACAAAAATAGAGCATATCTTTATTTATACACTACCTTCACATATATGGATATATACAAGGTTCGGTCCATAAATAATGCACAATCGGCACTAGCCTCTTTTATGGACAAACTGGAAACCTGAAACTCTGTATTTATGAACTCCTAAAAGTCCTCTATTTTTTAGAATTATTCAATAAATCCATTTTTTTCTTCTGTACGCATTTTATCCAGCTTTGTTGAAAATTTGCAAAAGTATTTTGGTAAAACCTCTTATCCAATAATCTGAACCACCCTATAACAGTTTGGAGTAAAATGGTATCACTTTAAAATGTTTCTCCATGTGAAAACTGTTTATTCTTTCGAAAAGGTAGATAGGGTGCCAGGTCGGGGTTGTACGCAGGGTGAAGGATCAAATTCCGACCAAACTCTGCTATCTTCGCCAAATTCACGAGAGCCGTGTGAGGTCTCGCGCTTTATCCTGCCTAACTTTTATTTGAGTATTTTTGTTTCAATTGATTTATTATCCTTTCTAATGATTCACCTTGTCTTCAAAATTCGAAACTATTTTAAAGGCGTAAGATTATTTTTTGATATTTAAACAATTTCTACTGCCCTTACTTCAATGGAAAAATTAAGGGAAGGGCCTGGCTCATCAGTGGTGAACCCTCCCAGCGGTTTCGCCAGTTTTGTTGAAGGAAATTTCTTCCTTTCTCAAGCGTGTCCATGTATATCAGTCCTTTTTGGTCTAAAAAAACAGATCACAATTTCGTCCATGGAAAGGGAAGGTTTCGAATTTTTTACTGGTGATATTTTATGGTTCAATTACATTAACACTTTGAAGAAAAATTATAATGATAAATTACAATAGAAGTAATCGTAGGATTACATTGTTGGAAGAGACCAAAGGTAGACGCGACCAGTTTCTTTATTTAAAAAGCTCCTAGATTTCGGACAATGACGTACTTCAACAGACCATTAGGTGAATATGAGAAACTAGAGAAAATATGATAAATATGTAGAGAATGACGTTTAACAAGTTTTACCGCAAATGTTTCTTTTTACAGAACGAAAAATCGTAATTTTCATTATTTAAGGAGAAATAACGACTATTCCTATCTTTAGGGATAATTATGAAAGGATGAATTGTGAAGAGTTATGATAAACGGAAAAATAAAAGTTCTACCTTCATCATTACTCTTCACAATTCATCCTTTAATACTTCATCCCTAAGGATAGCAATAGTCATTATTTCTCCTTAAATAATGAAAATTACGATTTTTCGTTCTGTAAAAGAAACATTTGCGGTAAAACTTTTCAAACGTTGTTCTATAAGCATAGCCGCATTATATTGTATTATGAAAAAATAGTACAAATGTAATATTGTACTGGGATAAGGTGCATAAATTAAGAAAAAAGCATCTCCTTATCATGCAACTGACGGCGAAAGCCATCAGCAACTTTCAGTTTCACGATAAGGAGATGCCTTTTTCTTAATATTGCATTATGTAGAGAATTTTCATAAATAGGAATATTCCAAAAGATTATCGATCATTATTTCATTTTAGTGAAAAACATTTTACTAAAATCAATACAATAATCTTTTAATATTTCTATTTATACAAATTCTCTATATTCTACTAGATATCTAGTTTCTTATATTCACGTAATGGCCTGTTGAAGGAAGTCATTGTCCGAAATCTCGCAGCATTTTAAATGAAGAAACTCGTCGAGTTCATCTCTGGTCTCTTCCAACATTAATGATGAATCCAAGTGTGCCATCATATATTATCACACCTTAAAACATCTGAGAATATTCTCCAGAAAAAGTATTCATGAGTTCTGAACAAATCTCGTGGTAGATGTTTTGGAAACTTTTTTAGTACAATTTACGATATTAAAAAACATTAATAAGTTTTGTCCTCAAAGCTTATGTCCATAGTTAATCTAAAATACCCATTCAAAGAGTCTAGCATCAGTATGACTATAAAAGGAAGTTCGAAAAAATGCAATATAACAGCGATATGGTAGATTAAACTGACGAAACCGCTGGGAGGGTTCACCACTGATGAGCCAGGCCCTCCCATTAATTTTTACATTGTAGTAAGGACAGTATAAATTGTTTATTTTTAAAAATAATCATACGTGTCTAAAATAGTTTTGAATTTTGATTAATAAGTTTCAAAACATTTCCTTTAGACTGGGAAAGTTTTCAATTATTTGATAAGTCGTAATATTCTGATTATTCTTGATCAATTCACCCGTTAGAGTCAAATTTTGGTACATTGCTACATAGGTAGGTCTAGCTGTTCTTTTCTCATCACTAATATCAAAATCACCATTGTGGAAGCGCTGAATCCATCTTTGTATATTTCACTTCTATCCATGACTTCGTTTCCATACACTACACAGACTTAGCTTCAAGTGAATTACCTTGGCTGAAATGTCTCCGTATTTAAACAAAAATTCCATCACAACCGTTTTTTGGATTATTGTGTTTACTTCAAGCTGCATATCTGAATAAATACAAATAATATTCAATTCTGTTTGCAAATAAATAAATATGAATGTTTATTTAATCAAAGAACATATTGTTTTTATGATTATATATTATTCAAATATTTTCTATAGGTCATTGTGTACATTACTTATTGACCGGCTCTTGTATATATATGTTATAGTAAATTACATTCTAATGCACTATACCAAAAACCTTATTTATCCATTAGAATGTTGTCCTGGGGTCTAACCTTTGCAGACAATTCCACGAGAGAAAGAAGACTGCAGTAAAACAACAAAGGTTTGTAAGCAAAGAGCTCCCACGCAAGAGATTCCTGCATTGGGGCTGCAGAGTCAGCTCCTTGTGGAACGCTCCTCATGTAGGAGCCACAGTATTAATATTTCTATTGATTAATAACTGTCAATGGCAAAAACCTATTTCTGTATTATAAAAATTGATTTAAAAATCAACTCTTTTCAATAAAAAAAATCTATATAAATTATGCATTGAAATTAAAGTAAAGAGGGAAAATTTACCAATTCATTTTTACAATTTTAACGTAATCACACTATGAATATCAAATTACGAAAGTATTTTAGACGCGTAATATTCTTTTTAAAATAAAACAATTTCTACTGCCCTTACTGCAATGGAAAAATTAAAGGGAAGGCCTGACTCATCAGTGGTGAACCCTCCCAGCGGTTTCGCCAGTTTAATCTACCATAGGCGTCTAAAATAGTTTCGTAATTTGATAACAGATGGTTTGCTAGTGCATTGTAACACAAAGAATATATTCAATATATTTATAACTATATTAAATAGATACAATGTTACTATCATTTGAAATATAAAACTAATTTATTGGAGGTACAAACTGAATAATGAGCATTAATTTCTATATAATCCAAATTAGCCTTATAAGGTCAAATAACATCTCTCTCTAATAACATTTATATCTATTAGCTCACACCTCAATCTATATTAGCTCATATATATATGTTATATATAAAAAGATGAGAATTTCTGTTGTATTTTTGATTATCTTGAGGATTATACTATGGTAATGCAGTCGTGGTTAAAATCTTGAAACTATAACAATAAAAATAGTGAAGATTAGAAATAGCTTTAATTGAGCTTATGGAATATATATTAAAAAAAACATAATTTGATTAAAGTACTGCCTGGCTTAAGGCGAGTAGAACAAAGAAAAACAAAATATTATTTACATAATGTACAAAGGTTTTGAGCCGGCCATCGAGAAACAACAACAATAGAGTTAATGTAGTGAAAATGGTGACCTCTGGTGGTCGATTTAACAGAGTCATTTAATCTATATAATATATTTGAAAGAAAATAATATTTTTACATAACATATATATTGTCGCGAAATTTTAGAGTTAAAACAAATTAATTGTTTATTATTAAATATGTGAATATTTTAATAGTTCGATGTTATGCAAATTATGTAACTGTATTTTTCTTTCTTTTTCTTTAGATTAAAGGTAAGAAAGAAATTATTATTCACTTTTCGAGCTTTAATTTAATAATAAAACCTGCAGAAATACCTCTGTGTGTATACATACATTTATTTCTATGGAAAATAAACACTTAGGCCAGTTAGAGTTTTTTTTTATTTTCTCAACGTTTTGACAAAAATCTTTTGTCTTCGTCAGGAGAAGTAAATAAAAATAAAACATTTGGCAAGGCGTTAATTTTCATAGAAATATGAATACCCCGGCCAGGCAGCCTCTATCTATACATTTAATTGCGACAATATATTCCTGACACCACAGATCATAAAGTAACAGATTAATATAATCATAGAATAAAAATTAATAATTTAACTATATAGCATCTAAAATAAGTAATTAGATGATGTTCTATACTAGCCGAATGGCCCGGGCAACCCCCGGGGTTTACCCGATTAAACGCTTTTATTCAAATACTATTCGTTACAATTATAAAATGGCGCCGTGGATGTCATTCTTGTATAATATATAAATGAGTTTTAAAAATTGTAAAAAAAAAAAATGCATCGTCCGGGAATCGTACCCGGCCCGCGTGACAGGCGAGCATTCTACCACTGAACCACCGATGGTTATAAAAAATGGCCATATTTGGGTATCTATTCCATTCACAAAAGCAAACGGTGACAGAATTGATTAAGAATTGCTTGATGACTCTGATACTTGTATATTTTAATGTCTCTAATGCCATGTTTATTGTTTGATCCAATATTGAAAACAACTTCAAACGTGATTGTTATTTATCAAACCCTTATATTGAACTATGCATTAAATAAACTTTTATTAACCAAAATATATTCGTTTTTTTTTTAATCTAAAATATATATTTTTATAGATTACTCTTAATATAAACAATATGCATATATGGTTCGTAATCTGTTATTGAAAATTATTTGTGACGCGTATGATTCGGTTAGGATTTCTTCCATTATTTTATGACTGCAGTGAAGGTGAAGGGGTGCTAGAGACAGGTCACTTTTAATGTAAATATATATATCGCACTGTACTACATATTTAAAATCGGGCGCTATAGAGAGGGAGGCGCTATTTAGAGGGGGCGCTATAGACAGGTTTAACTGTATATATATATGGCAGTAGTCATCTTCCAACGTTCTATTGCGGAGACTACTGGAGAGGAGCGTTTATAATCAATTAATATTTTTCTTCTTATTATTTTCCACAGAATTTGGCTTGCTTTCTCGCAATGGCCAAAATTAAATCTTTACTGATTCATCACAAGGCCTCTTTGACCTTGGGAAGTCTTTAAGGTACATAATGAGCAATGCTGATGAAGGTCAACAGCCCAAACTTCGAAAGTATATGATTATCTTGGTTTTATTTACAAACGTTTATTTGATATTAATTCCGAAAAATCGCACTTTCTAACGTTCATCTATAAGTCTCAACATAACGAAATGCCTTTTTGACATCACATTTATAAATATTGTGTGTTTCAAAAATAAAATAATACATAATTAAACATATATACAAAATGCATATATTATATTAAAGGTTATTTAAATATCAAAATTTTCGATTGACAGATATCCATTCTTTATCATGGTTCGAAATTTATTGATATTGTGCAAGATACATAATCGTATACATAAAAATGAATCAATTGTTGTGCCTGGATACTTTTATATATATAGGCGTTCTCTCTCTCTCTCTCTCTCTGCTAATCGATAATATTGATTATTTAAATAATTCTATCTAATATATACCTTTTTATAAAAATATATATTTATTTTCTAAATGCAGAATATGATATAGGGTGGGTTTGGATCATCAGTGTTGAACACGATAAACGGTTTCGTTAATTAAATCTACCAGATCGCCACATATCGCATCGTCTGCGTTCCCTAAATATTTACATTTTTAATAACAAGTAGCGAACCATACAATTTTGGCGGAGGCTTTATAGATCAAATGGGCGATCCGCTAGGAGATTTCATCTGCAAATGCTTTTCATCTTCCATTTAGAGTTAGTTTAATCTTACCATTAAAGTTAGCGCTGATCAAGAAGATTTTAATGTCCTTTTTCCTTCTTTACCTCTTTAAACCTCTACTCAAACATGTAATTCACCAATTGTGTATATAAAATAGTTCTCTTAATTAGTATTGTTGCTTGACGCAAACTTCCCTTGTGGGAATATCGCGTCTGATTTGACAATAAATAAGAAGACTCCACATTATTCATCGATAATTTGCGACGCTATGCGTTGTGTTCAAATAACATAATGCCTTAATAAACGATATCGACCTTCAATATGAGCCTAACACACGACCAATCTTACTATCTATTTTTTCTATTTTATTTCGTTATTTTTATCATAAACGAGAAACGCTATATTTATTAACAAGGTGATTAATTCTATAGAAGTTTCTCTTTATGATGTTGAATTTAACCATCTGAGAGAGGCTTATAGAATAACAAGCATGTAACAAAATTTTATACCAATCAATATATATACATGGATAAAACCTTTATAAGTGAAAGGTCTTTGATGTCGCCGGTTATCTACTTTTTTTTAAAGGAGAGAGAGAATATTCTGTTCACAATTTGTTATCTCGTGAGTGTTTAATAAAGGTCACTGTGTATCAAATATCATTAAGAGTTATTGTCTGAATCCAGATATATAGCTAAAAGGTATAACTTTTACACACAGGGTTTTTACAAGAGTGTATTTACATTAGAAATTGAGGAGGTTCGGCTAGTTAAAGTTGTTTACATTAGAAATGACATCCTACCTAACAACAACGGTAGTTGATGTGCAACAGAACGTGACCAAAAATGAAACAACGTTTACTATTTGAGTCAAATTATCCCCAGGCCAAGTTATAACGCGAAAATTATTAATTTACTTCCCAGCACATCTAATTACTTCGCTGCAACAAATTAATTGATAATAATTAAGGAGAAGTCACAATTTCCTCCGGCACATTTTAAATGAAATAACTTGGAGTCAAAAGTTTATGAAGGGAAACGAAATAAAATCAAACTCCAATTGCTACGGTTAAAAAGTTATTTCGGTTTTCTTAAAGGCGCCGTTAAATGTCGCTGATGGAAGAACGATAATAAATTGTTGGCGGAGAGAAATGGCCATTTGTTGGGCCTGTTCTCAAAACGTATAAAATATTTATATTTGATCACATATTTAGGCCTATTTGTCTTTTTAAAAAGTCTAAATAATATATATATTTGAAAACCTTTCCATTTAGCTTGCTCTCTGTGAGATAATATCGAAATCATTCAGAGCATTTTCAGAAACGATAATAATGATTGATAGTCAAAAAGAATATTAAGTGTGGAAGAGGAGGCTCATCAACGATAAGCCCATAACCTCTAGGTTATACCTTCTTTTTTTGCTTATCCCTAGTACACGTGGTACAGGCCATGATAATCATGGTGGGTAGTTAGCGACTGCTTTTACTGTAAGTGCACCAGATGTCTACACATGTGAAAAACGGTTCGACTTTGCACTTGCAAATGTGCCAGAGCCGCGTTTGGTTACTTGCACTCGCTAGTGAGGTTGGAATTTTGCATGAATCGGGGGTGATTGAAGAATTTCTTTTCAAATAAAAAAAAGTGTCAAATACGATTCGATCCCGGGTCTTAACGGTAGAAAACCAACGGTTTAGACCAACCTATCACCGACCCCTATAGGTTATACGTCGAATAAAGTAGGGAATAAAAATATTAAATCTTTATATGCAATATAGAGAGAGCCTGTAATCCTTAAATTAACAGGTTATTAAAACCTAACTCACTATAAAAAGAGATAATATGGATTATATTAACTATGTACAATGAATATGGCGCCTCTGCCAGCGCTGCAGAGTTTGGTGGAGAATACTCACTATAAAGCTAGAAGATATATTAATGATAATATTCCTTTATGTTTATTATATTTTATATATATTATATTATTTTTATATTTAAATGACGGTGGAGAGATGACATTGTATATCCTCAGATTTATACACACAGATATCTCTACAAATTTAAATATGTTAATATTGGTTCAATGGCTCCCGATTCTTGCAAATGTCTAACCCAACCAGTAAACTCAAGTAGACATATGGGGCTCTGACTTACTTAAGTGAAAGGTTTGAATTTCTCTCTACATAAATATATGTAGCGCACTTAGAAAGAAAGAGTGAAAACTGTCATATACTACTAGATATCATGATTACCGTGGCTTGTTTCTCGTATACTAAAGATAATTGAAGAGAAAAAAATATGTATTAATAAATGCATATTTCAAATATTTTGGTAATACATACGAAAATGTTTCAAATATTTTAAAATCCATCACTAAATGTATCTTTCACATTTGATATGGATCGAATTGGGTTTGAATCTGTTGTTTAATTGAGGTCCGATATAATTGATATTAAATTGAATGGATGTGTCCCGAAACAGTCTTTATCTATTGGAAAAACCAGCGACAGCTTTCACAACGGCAATGTTATTATTGGGTGTGTGTGTTGCGCTTTTCTAAAATCTACTGAAATCGTATGTAGGAACTATAGACATATATCGATAGTACTCTTTAATATATTTATATCTCACAATACGTATTATCCAAATGGCACCAGAAGGCACAAGAACCTATAGGACATGCAACAACTGTCCTGGTGTGGAACTAACACCTACTCACATATTCTCATGCCCAGCAATGGCCACAGCCTTTCAGAAATTAACATGGATCCAGAGCAGCAGCTTTACACACCCAAGATAGTGGATATTGCTGCTTCTGTGATAGAAATGCATGGAGACATCTGAGGCTCTTTATTATATACGACAAAAACAACAAAAGCTAGTAATATAAGCAGAAAGACACATTTCAATAGTATAGAATGTCTGATAGTTATTATTTGTGTTAATTAAACCAATTCAAAATTTCAAAATATAGGGAATATACTTACTATTATTATATATAAAAACCGTTACACAAGAGCTAGTAATGTGTAAATTTAAATTAATCTCAAAATGAAAACAACAATTTACTGCCACAACACCTTACCTATTTTAACCATATCTGGCGATATTTCTTCGTTCCATTTGAGATTCAGCTGAAGAATCGCATAGATGTTGAAAGTATGCGATCTCAGATAGTGAGGTCTACAAAATTTGGTTTCGTTCTATGCAGATTGCGTTCTTCTTCTAAAATGAATTTAAACAATGTATTTGGTTTATTACCCCAATACAAAACCTACAGGTGGGTAAAAAAGGAATGTGCCAACACACCAATTATTCTCCAATTCAGACAAATATCTATCTTGTATACAATGGTTTATGGTTTTGGCTCTCATCATTTAAGGAGAGGCAAAAAAGTCTAATTGTTCAAAAATATACTTATGCTTTTTAAGTAGCATGTCCGATTTTTAGAGACCAAAATAAACGTAATTTTTCAAATATCTTCATCAAATTATCGTCATCTATACCTGAAAATAAGATAATTGTTGCGGTAGGAAAGTATTCATGTTCAAAGGTGGAACCTCTTCCTGTGAAAGGCATAAAAACAATCTATCATTAACTATCATCCCAATACAAAACGTAAAGGTA